TGCAGTGTGCAGTGTGTAATGTAGCTGTATGTGAATGTAGACGATCTGCAAAGTTGTAAAGCTGAAAGTAAATAAAGTATAAAGTTATTGTCTCTCAAAAGACAGAATCGACTCTAAACAGCCTAAATGAGTCGTCAGGAATTCGAATCCCACTTCCATGAAGGCTACACATCACATGGTAACACATCTTGGGGAGATCAAAGCAGGATTCACAAAAGCTTGCTCTTGAAAGATGCCTCAGTACCCAGTTTATTTGGACCATCTGGCTCCACTGATGCTAAACAAATAATTGCGGGATTCACAAAACGCTTGCTGTTGAAAGATGGATCAGTATCCTGTTTATTTGGACCAGCTGCTCCACTGAATCACAACTTGTAAGTATGATAAATAATAGATATTTATATTTTCTATAGAGCGATCAAAATACAGAACTATTGAAATAGGCGTATCTTTTCCAACACGCGCTGTACGCCGTAGACCAATCACAACAGACTAGGCCATCTGACCAATCAGAGCAGAGCAGGCTCACGGAAAGGAGGGGTTTAGAGAGACTGAATCTTTGAACTGCTACGAACGAATCGTTGAGAATCGCTGGAAAATGAGGTGATATTAAATGCATATTTTGAGAAAACTAAAGCGTTTTTTGACCTTGCATGCATATAATCCTATTGTAGGAGACTCCCAAAACAATATTAGGAACCGTAAAAATGGCATAATAGGGGCACATTAATGACTAAATAGGTTTAAAATTGCCACAATCAAGCTGCAAAACCATTTCACTAAATGCTCCTCTCCCACTGTAAGTTTACAATTGTGAAAAAATCATATTTTAGATTTATATAAAATGCAGTGAACAATAAAATATATTGTGAATATAAAATGAACGGAACTAAAAAAAAATAATAGTCGAATCCACACATACACTCTCATGTAACTACAGCGGTGACCATCATCGCAGCTTTGGCAGGAATCTCATCCTATCAGCACATCCCAGATGCTCAACCTTGGCTCCTCATGGTCTCATCAAAGTGCCTCTTTCCATCCAGGTAAAGCATAGACTCTGCAAATTACAACAATATTAAATTACAAGTAATACCATTAAAATATAATGTAACAATATTTGTAAAAAGCTGTATTCTGACCTCCATAGCTCTGTGGAACAATAGCTGGGATATCCTTCTCAACACGAAAAGTAAAGTGAAACACATTTGTGGTGCTGTGTTGCCGGGTCAATGGGTCAAGCACCTCTGTGTGAACCCTGACCTGGATGTGCATCCCTTCAGTGTAACAAACCTGACAGAACAGTATTATCATCGATCTTATTCTGAAGGACAAAAATGGCTACAAATGAGTGCATTTGATATTTAACAATTTAGAACCTGTGAGGACAGCAATAGCAAAGAGCCAATTTCTACTGGCTTTCGAAATACAATGTCATCTACAGCCACCAGCGTTGGTCTGCATCCACTGAAAGATACAAATATAGCCATGTGATGAAATGAAATACTTCTTTACAGGTAATATTCAATAGTCAACAAAGGGGAATCTCTTACGCAAATGCACAAGCATTCGCCCAACCAAGTTCATAGGCCTTTCTCATCAAAAATCCACCAAATATCCGGTTGAAGATATTTCTTTCCTGTATAATACAAAGAATAAAGAAAGTCCAGGCAAGTACATAAAAAAACATCAAGCAAATGTACTAATTGACATTGTCAGTTTCATCGATTAGGCCTAAGTATTGCAAAAAAATACTTACTTGTGGATGGCAAATCTCAAGCCCTTTCATTTTGGCATCTTCCATCCACACGGAGTTGGGTGGTAAAATACGACTCCGAAAGCTGACAGTTCTATTGGGAGAAGGTAAATATTGCTAAAAAAAAAAATGGGCACAGATTTATAGCTGTGTTTTGATGATAAATCTGACCGTGTGTCTAGAGTGTTGAGGAACAGGTTGTGAATGAGAGTCCTCTCCTCAGCTGTAGGAGCCACTTTCAGAAGAGATGCTGTGCTCAGCTCCACACGCCTCGTCTTGTTAACTGATCAATATAGAGAGCATCAGTCTTGCTCTAAATATTTCAAATTGAAGTCGCAATTGTGATTACAAGCAAACAAAAGTGCTACTCACTCTCTCCTTGCTGAAAAATTGCATCTTCCTCTGGACTCTCTAGTTTTAGTGGGTTTATAAAAGCTGCCCTGGTAAACCGTACATAACCCATGCATTAATTTACAGACACAATACCGCAATCATAAATATGTTTATCATACCAACATGTTTAATGTTACCTTTTGTTTTCAGGATCTCGAGCCACCATTACAAAAGTGGCATCTAATACATCAGTGTACGCCCCATCATGATACTGTGAAAATGGTTCATTTAGTTCAATGCCACTTTTATGTGCAACATTTAATACGTTTTATTAACAGACTTTAGGAATACCTGAGACATGTGCATTTTAGCTTCTATTGAGGTTTTGCCAACCCACGTCACATGACCTGTGAACTTGATGTCACAGTCAGGGTAGATGATGTTTTTTCTCATGTCTGTGAAACAATAAAACAGAATTTAATGAATTAATTTAACAACAACAAAAAATGACTACTACTTCAAGAAGCAATACCGATTTTGTCCACTAGGGCGGTGACAATAGACAGTGGAGATCTTTTCAGCTCCTTATTCCATGTGTGAGAGTAACAGATGAGCACTAAAGAGACAAGAATGAGACGGTATGTGATAAGAAAGAGCGAGTTATGATCAGACAATACTGCTGTGATTACCTACATTTTTTTAAAACATAAAGGTTCTTTATTGGCATCTATGATCAAATGAAGAACCTTTAACATCCATGAAACCCTTCCATTGCACAAGAGGTTCTTAACCACGGAAAAAGGTCATTTAGATTATTAAAATGTTCTTTACACTGAGAAAAATGGTTCTTTTAAGAAATGTTCACTGAAAATGTATTTGAGGAACATAAAACGGTTCTTTAATGGCATCACTGTGAAAACCCGCTTTCGGAACCTATATTTTTAAGATGTATTTATTACCAGCTAAACTGTCCAAGTCCTCCAAAATCCTTCCAAACCTGTTGAGAAAAAGGTATTTAAGCAAAAGAAATGTACTCAGATCAGAATGAATATTCAAAAATG